CCCTGCTGCCCACATCCAGCACTGGTCTGAGGTCCGGCTGCCTTCCCTGCCACCCGTGCGAGCAGACGTGTCTTGGCCTGGACGCTGCCACAGCCTGCGGGAAAGGGGCCTCTGGGATAAGGGCTGCCCCTCACACAGCCGTGTCCTTGAGGCGAGGCAGAGAAAACCCAGGCTTGCCGGGCTCCTGATCTGTAGACCCTGGAGGGAAGCTCCTCACTCAGAAGCACAGAGAAAAAGTTTTTTCCCTGGTTTTGAATTCTCTTCTTTTTCTCATTCCTTTCTTCTCTTTTTGCTGTTTTTTTCCTATTTTTATTATCCATAGTATTTCTCTTTTTCTCCCTTTTCCCCTTTTATCTTCCATTTCTTTTTTTTTTTTGTCCGTTTCTGTCTTAGTTATTTTCTCATTACTGGGACAGAATACCCAACACCCATAAGTTAAAGGAGGAAAGGTTTATTTAGCTTATCGTCTGTAGAGGTTTCAGCCCATAGTTGGCTGGCTCTGAGGCAGGGAAGCACGGCAGAGGGGCATCGCAGAGGAGACACAGTCCATGGCAGGACAGGCAGGAAGCAGAGCGGAGCTTCCTTCTTTCTCTTTTTATCCCATCAGGGCTATAAACCTATTGCTTAGTGCCACCCATACCCAGGGTGGCTCTTTTGTCTTCAGTAAATCCATCATCCACACCTAGAACTGTGCTAAACCGATCAGTGGACTAATCCAGTACCACACACCCATGATGCAGTCACTCCCAAAAGCCCCCCTTTTGAGCAAATGAAGCTTTGGTGGGGGGAACATCCAGATATAAGCCATAACAGATACCTTTATTTAATTCTGTAAATATTCTCCGTAATAGAATTCTTTGTCTCACTTTTCTCTTCTTTATCTCCTATTTAATTTTTCAAATTTTTCCTTTTGCATTCTCCCATTCTCAAATTCCTATATCTTTAACATGTTCCTGCCAGCTTGAAGCACTAGTGGTACGTGCATGACTGTCCCATTGAGCCTCTGTCATGCATGGGACACTGCATATGTACCACTGGTGGTTAAAGCTGCCCAGCAGCCAGACACACAAATCATGGCTCCATCACGAACATGGTAGTAGCATAACCATTAAGCTTTATTAGTTTTTAGATAGTTAACTCTGTGTTACTACCGTTGAATTCTTTTCTATCATTTATGAAGGTATAGTTGTTGCTTTTTTTTTTCTTGGTACCGGGGATCGAACTCAGGACCTTGCAATTGCCAGGCAGGTGTGGCACCACTGAGCTGCGTCCCAGCCCCAGTTGTTGCTTTTTGTAGATATTTGTTGAATCAGTTAATTGAAGAGTTGGTTTTTGAAAGAATAAACAAAATAAATAAACCCTTAGCCAACCTTACAAAAAACTGAAAGGACCTAAATCAATGCAATTAGAAATGAAAAATGTGAAATCACAGCAGATTCTGCTGAAATCTAGATTATTAGTAACTACTTTGAGAACTTGTATTCTGATAAAATGGAGAAATCACAAGAAATGGATAGACTCATAGATACATATGAACTACCAAAGCTGAACCAAGAAAACATAAAACCTCAGTGTAATCCAATGTCAGGTAATGAGATTGCAGAAGTAATAAAAAAACTAAAACTAAGAAAACCCCAGGTCCCAATTGATTTACTGCCAAGTTCTATAAAAACTTTAGGGAGGATCTAACACCAGTATTCCTCAAACTCTTTAATGAAACTGAAAGAGAAGGAACACTCCCAAAGTCTTTCCAGGAAGGTAGCATCACCTTGTTTCCAAAGCCAGAAGAGGACAAAAACAATCCCCCCTCCCCCAAACAAACAGGTGCAGATATCCTCAGCAAAATACTGGCAAACAAAATGCAGCAAATCATCAGAAATATCATACACCAAGTAAGCTTCATCCCAGCGAGAATGAATCAACATATGCAAATCAATAAATGTAATATATGACATAAACAGAAGGACAAAACCAGATGATCATCTCAATAGATGCAGAAAAAGCCTTTGACAAAATCCAACATCCATTCATGATAAAAAACCTTGAATAAAATAGGCATAGAAGGACCTAATCTCAATCTGATGAAAGTCATTTATGACAAACCAGGGGCCAGCATCATACTAAATGGAGAAAAGATGAAAGTGTCCCCTCCAAAACCAGGAACAGGACAAATCTGCTGTCTTGATAGTGGTCTGTTAGCAAGACTACTATTCAATGTATTTCTTAATATATATATGTATGTGTGTATATATATATATATATATATATATTTTTTTTTTTTTGCTACCAGGGATTGAACTCGGGACCTTGCACTTGTGAGGCAGGCAGTGGAACCACTGAGCTAAATCCCCAGCCCTTATTTCTTAAAATATTAGCCAGAGTAATTAGGCAAGAGAAAGAAGTAAAAGGAATACATGTAGGAAAGGAAGAAGTCAAATTGTCATTATTTGAAAATCACGTGATTCTCTACATAGGAGATCCAGAATTCCACCCGAAGACTCCTAGAATTGTTAGCCAAATTTGTTAGTGGAGCAGAATACAAAGACAACATAAAAAATCCGTGACACTCTTATATACCAATAATAAACTCACTGAGAAAGAAATTAGGGAAACAATAACTTCATAATAGCATGAAGAAATGTTAAATACTTAGGAATTAATCTAAGGAAATGAAAGACTACAACAAACACTACAGTACTCTGAACAAAGTGATCTAAGAGTATATCAGAAAATGGAAAGACACCCCTGTTCCTGAATGGGCAGAACCTATATTGTTGAAATGGCCGTGCTTCCACATCTGATACATAAGTTTATGGCAATCTAAGGCAAAATACCAATGGCATTCCTCACAGAAATAGGAAATACAATCCTAAAATTTGTATGGAACCAGAAGAGATCCAGAATAACAAAAGCTACTCTGGGTAACAAGGGCAAGGCTGGAGGAACTGTAATTCTAGACTTGAAGCTATACTGCAAAGCCACAGTGACAGAAACAGCACGGTGTTGGCGGAAACAGACTTGTGGCTCAACAGAACTGACTAGAGGATGCAGAAACAACTCCAAGGGTGTTCCGCTACCTAATCTTTGACAGAGGGGCTAAAAACTGATGCTGGAGGGAAGATAGCCTCTTTAACAAATAGCACTGGGAAAATTCGCTGTCCATGGTGAAGATGGAATCCCAAGCCATGTCTGTCACCATGTACTAAACTAAAATCCAAATGGGTCAAAGATCTAAATATTAAAATGGAAACATTTACTCTGCCGGAAGATAAAAATAGGTAAAACTCTTGAAGACTTAGATATAGGCAAAGATTTTCTGAACAGAACCCCAGCTGCACAAGAAGTGACATCAAGAGTCAACAAATGGAATCACAGTAAATCAAAAAGCTTTTGCACAGCAAAGGCAGCAACCAACAGAGTGAAGAGACAACCTACAGAATGGGAAAAATTTTTTTCCAGCTATTTTCCTCAAACAGAGGACTAATAATCTAGAATTTATGAAGAACTAAAAAGCGATTAGATCCTCCCAAGTAAAAGATCCAGTCAGAAAATGGGCAACTGAACAGGACAGACACTTCTCAGAAGGAGAAATACAAATGGCCAATAAGTACATGAAAAAATGTTCATCAACTCTGGTCATTAAAAAACACAAATTAAAATACACTGAGATTTCCTCTTATTCTAGGAAGATTGGCTATCATCAAGAAACCAGATAGGGCTGAGGATTTAGCTCAGTGGTTCCGATGCCTGCCTCGCAAGCGCAGGGTCCCGAGTTCAATCCCCAGTACCAAAAAAATAAGTAAATAAAAGATAAAATAAAAAAAGAGCTGGGAATATAGCTCAGTGCAAAGACCCTGAGTTAAAAAAAGAGAAAGAAACCAGATAGATAGCAGAGGGAGAAAGGAACCCTTGTTCATTTTTGGTGGTAATATAAACTTGTACAACCATTGTGGAAATCAGTGTGGTGAGTCTTTAAAAAACTAAAACTAGAAATTCCATTCAACCCGGCTATTTCCTCCTAGGTATCCTCCCGAAAGAGTTAAAGACATCGTATTACAGTGAAACATGCAGGTTTATAGCAGCACAATTCATAATAGCTAAATCTCGGAAGCGGCCTGTATGTCTACCAACACATGAATGGATAAAGAAAATGTGGTATGTATACAAATGGAGTACTACTCTGCCATAAAGAAGGATAAATTTGAGTCACTTGTAGGAAAGTGCATACATAATGTTAAGTGAAATAAATCAGACTCAACAGTTTCTTTTCTATGAGAAACCCAAGATATAAATGAAGAATAAAATAAAAGATAGATAATAGGAAGAAAAAGAGAGGGTGGGGGTATGGAGGGAGGGTGAAAATGCAGCTAGGAGGGAGGGAGAAGGGGGGTAAAGAGATTTAAGATGTGTTGTGCACCCGTGTCAGCTCCATGCTGAATATAGTCATGTGCTGCACATGTGCTAATAAAAAGAAAAGAAAAAGAGGGACTTCCTTCGCTATTGCTGACTTGAAATCCCGGAAATTCGCCTCTGCACTTGACGTGAGGTGGAAGCCCTGGCTGGCAAACAGGGGCCGTGCGGCCGTGGCTGAAGGCCGGTGCGTGAACTTGGGTGCAGTGTGCTGGTCCTGCCAAGGTGTTACTAACTCGGTGAAACTAACTCGGACTCCGAAGGAAACTCGCAGACAGGCAGTCTTGGTGCCGGTCAGGCCAAGGGCACGTTTCGCTCCAGGGACGTGGAGTTCGTTTTCCAAGCCTGCGTCCGTTCCTATTTGCTCTGCAGCAAGGATTTCCCTGCCCCTAGCGAGGGAATCCCGCCCTGTCCAGAGCTGAGTGGCGGCCGCTTCCTGCAGTCAGGGGTCCTTCCTTCCTTCCGGCTGTTTTACCTCGGTCCTCCTCATGGAGAGCCTGGGAATTCCGAGAGAGCCAGGCGCGTTTAGGAAACGGTTTGAGAAAAGAGAGGTGCAAGGATTTGTCTTAAGAAATCAAACTGACTCGTACTGCCCGAGGATCTCACTGTTTTACAATCACGTATTTTTTCATACACAGGAAGTATAGAATTAGTCACAGCAGATGGTTCTGGGCAAAGCATTTGAAAAGAATCCTCCCAAGGTGGCTCCTGGGAACTGGATGTGGATCTTTGTGAAACATGAACACGTTTTTCCCTACCTTCCCAATAACAGACGAGACCCTCTTCCAGCCATCGGATTTATTTTATTATATTTGTGAAGAAGTTAAGTAAAACTTTTTCCCCGTAAGATAAATAGTGTGGCAGCTTGTGATAGCGGAAGACACTTGGCCCTCTGAGAGTTCCATTGTAAACACACTGAGGATTTAGGGTTTGGCAAAAGCACTGTTTTCTTCTAACAGCAATCAACATTTTTCTGAAATCCGTTGGAAATGCCATAGCATGGGCTGCTCACCCCCAACACAGACGCCGAGCAGGGCAGCTGCGTGCCTCTCCCCAGAGCCGGCTCCTGCGCTCAGGGCGGGGTCGTGGGGCGGCTCCCAGCTTGGCGGGGGCTGTGCGAGAGGAGACAGGAAGCTCGTACACCCCGCTCCACGCGGTGCCCATGGACAGTGGAGCTCGAGCTCCTGGCTTCCTGGCCTCCAGAACCCTCTGCTCTTCGAGAATCGCCCCGTCTCGGTGTCTCCTCGCAGCAGTAAGAAGTGGACTGAGCCGCTTGGTGATCGTTCTTGGCAGCACCCCAGAGCCGGGCGAGGGGATGCAGCGGGAAGCCGCCTTCCAGGCAGCCGCCCCGTCTTGTCTCCGTCTCCGTCTCCACGCACTCTGTGGCCTTGAGGCAGGGAGCGTTTGTTTAGTCACTCCCCCGACATCTCCCACGTGCCCGCTGTGAGTCAGACCTGATTCCGGGGCGCTCCAGGAACATTGCCAAGAAGCGGGGTTCTGCGACACGAAGGGCTGCCTACTTCGCGTCAGACGTGGGGGCCGGGGCCCCAGTGAAGGTGTCCTGGGAGAGGAAGAGAACCTGAGCCAGGGTGAGGGGAGGCCAGGCTGGAGCAGAGGCCGGGGAGTTGGGAGGCTGCGCTCAGGGGCAGGCAGGGCTCCTGCCGTCCTTCCCAGCCCGTCCTCAGGACTCCGCTGTGCTCTGACACTTTGGAGAAGTCTGGCCAGCAGCGGAGCGCGAGCCTTATGGAAAACAGAGGCAAGATGACGTCGCCGTCACCCACTTACACGCAGGGGTGACTCTGGGGCAGCTGGGAGGGGCCCGGAATCCCTTGCCTTTAATGCTGTTTTCCCTTGTTTTAGATTAGGAATGGAGAGTTCTTGGGGAGTTTGAGTGGAGTTTTTGGCTGCGCTCGTGTTTCTCTTGCTGAGCCCTGGCTGCCGTGGGACCACGATCCTCCCCTCTCTGAATATGGTCTCGGTGCCACGGTACCTGCAAGCTGTCCCTGGAGGCTCCCTCAGCTGCTTCTTGTCCTGCCCTTGCAGCTGTAGTGCGGGCAGGGCCTGGGCTTCGCCACTCCACGCACTCTGTCCATCCAGTGACATCCGGCTCTTCCGCAGGGCCCCATTCCAGACCTGCCCTCTGCCTTCTCACTCGTTTTAGGAGCTTCATGGAGCCTCCTGAAGAAACTGAGTCAGCCACTGCCAGTTGTTGCTTGTGTTCAGTGCACCCTGATAGATACAGAGGATGTCTGAGGCCTTATTTCCCCACCCGAGTTTAAAGACTAAGCTGTTAGCCTTTGCTGCTGGGTTGAAAGGGCAGAGTGGGAGAGGGCAGGGTGTTATGTACAGAAATGGAGGCAGGCAATCCTGAAAGGGCAGGGAAGTGAGGTTTCTGCAGACCAACTTTACTACTTCCTTGTTGCTCCTTTGTCCACCTGCAGCAGGTCAAATTAGCATCAACGTGTGGGCCCACTTAGGGCCACCGTTCTTATTCAGATGTAGGTATATTATGTCTGGTCTTGTATTCAGTGAGGATTATAGCTCGTCTGCCTGTCTACCTCTATCCATCTGTTTGTCTATGTACCCCAGGCGGATAAGACCCCAAGAAGAGGTTTTTAATTTAACATCTTAGCCCAGTCACAGGACTCTCCTCTCCACAGGCTCCTCGCCTGTGGCCCTGACAGCCAGCCCAGCTCCTCCTGGCTGGGGAAGGTGCTGAGCCTCCACACTCTCAGTCTTCATTTGCAGAATGGGAGTCATAGTGGCATGTGGCTGTCAAAATGCACCGTGAGGCAAAGTAATTCCAACACTGCATTAGAAGCTTTCTAGAAAAATTATTTTGTGACAGACACTGCCAAGGAGACTGGACGCTCCCATTTGTAGAGGTAAGCGCGGAAAGCACTGAGCCTGTGGCTTGGGCTCTGTGGGTGTTTTGTAGCTCCTCACACAGGAGGCTCGAGGTGCAGTCCTTCCAGCTTAGGGAGAGAAGGCGGAGTACAGCTTGTCCTAGGGGCATGCCAGGGTGTGGAAGGACAGACTCCAGGACAGACAGCCCCTCGGCCCTTGGGCCTGGGACTTTGCTGCCTCCACTCCCTGCCCAGCCATGTTAGGCCCCCTCCTCTGTGGGTGGTGACCCAGTGTCTGTCTTACAGGTCGACTGCGGAGACCATCCGCTCATTCCTGTGTGCAGTGCTCCTCGTTGGGTGTCAAGGACACAAAGGTTAGAGAACTGGAGGCACTGCTTTCTCGGGGTGTGCAGTGCAGTGTGGGGTCAGCAAGCAGGGACTCTCCCGCAGCCCAGCGAGTTACTCTGGGGAGGTGGGAGTGGGGCACGGGCAGCGGAGGCCTGGTTCTGCAGAGCATGACGGCCTAGTCCCGAAGGGTGTCCTGAGCAGCACGGGCAGTGCAGAGGACCTGCCCCTCCCTCCACCCTGAGGCTGGAGCCCAGGGCCCTGTGCATCTGGCCATGTGTTCCACCACTACGCTGCATCCCTAGCCCCTTTTACTTTTTGAGACAAGTTGCTCTAAATTGCCTAGGCTGGCCTCAAACTTTTCATCCTCAAACTGTCCACCCTCAGTGGCTGAGTAGCTGGGATTACAGGGACCCTGGTCCCAGCTGGAGAATTTCGTGTTTCCTTATGGCTCCAGAGTCTCAGTAGGGTTGAGGCAGGTAAGGAATAATTATAAAACAAGAGCTAACATTCAATCAGTCGCTGCAAGAGCTTTATTTGTGCCATCTAATTTTCAGTCTTCATAGCTACTCTCTGTGCTATGCAGTATTTAGTATCTGTGCTTCACAGATGAGGGAACTGAGTCTTGAAGGACTTGCTGAAGATCACATGGCCAGTGGCGATGGAGCTGGGATGTCCACTGAAGCACTCTGGATCCAGAGCTTACACCAAAGGTCAAAGGGCTGCAGAGGACTTCAAGGCTGGTGTCGAGGGATGTGAAGCCGTTGCTGTGCAGGGGACCTGGCAGTGCAGCATGGCGTGAGGAACACAGTTAGGAGTCTTGGTGGAGCCAGCAGAACAATACTCAGTGTCTGAATAATGTGTGTGTGCGTGTGCGCGCGCGCGCGCACTCACATAGGACCCGGGGACGCACCTTGCCCTGTCCTTGGCCCACCTGGTGTCTGCAGCTTGTGTGGTGAGGGGAACAGGGCTGATCTGGTGTCTGCATGGCGGATATGGGAGGTTTGGGTGTGTTTCTGTCAGGTCCCAGTGGGATGTTCAGGCGACATGGGAGGGTCCAGGTGGCTGGAGGGAGGACTGGGCGGCGGCTCTGCTTGCTGCTTAGCTGTGAGTCAGCCCAGCTGCCGGTTCACGGTTCATCAGCGCAGGTGGAGCCGAGCCCCGGCCGTGCAGCGACCCACAGCCCGCGTCTGCTCTGAGCGCAGGCACCGCCGGTTGCCTCGGTGTTTTGCCGGGCGAACTTGTGTGGTGCTCTGAGCTACCAGCGTCGCTTCCCTGCCATCTGGGTCGTGTGGTTCTATTAGTTTCAAACCAAACCCCTGTTCTCCTCCTTTAACGTTTCCGATTTGTTTTACGCTGTATCTGATGTAATAACTTATTTATTTCAGAACTTTGTATGTGTGTATGTATTTTTGTTTTGTGTTTTGAGACAAGGTCTCACTATGCAGTTCAAGCTGGCCTGGACTCACTGTGTAGCCCAGGCTGGCCTGGAACTCGAAGTGATCCTCCTGCCTCAGCCTCCTGAGTGCTGCGATTACAGGTGTGCGCCACCACGCCCTGCTAGAACTTTGTCTTGGAAACCCCCTTTATTAAGGAAAAAATAATTTCCTATCTGCAGCGGCTGAGGAATACAATATTTTTCTTCTGTGGTGACCACAATTTCAAAATTTGTTACAAGCTTCCTTTCCTCTTGGTTAATGTAATGGGAAAGATGGAATTTAAAATTCTCACAGTGGCAGGTGTGGTAGTGCATGGCTGGAGTCCCTGCACTTGGGAGGCTGAGGCAGGGGGATCCTGGTGATCCTGGGATACACGAGACTCTTGGAAAACCGGAAAACAAACATTCACACAGAAGGGAGCAGGTGGTGGCTAAGCGATGTGACAAATGTCACTCAACTCAAAGATTCAGTAATTTATCGATTAATGAGGTTCTCTACTTCGTGTGGGGCTGCAGGTGCTTGGAATGCAGGAGTGTGTAAGACAGAAACCCCTGCACCGAAGGAGCTCACGTTGGAGTAGGGGAACAGGTCAATAAGGTAAAGAGCTGCAAAGTCGTATCTCTAAGTCTGTTTTCGGAGTGATAAATGCTGAGTGTTAGAACCAAAATGGAGTGAGGAAGGGAAGAGTGCCTTGGGGAGGTGGTGACATTTAGGTAGGGAGCTGCAGACGGTGTTCTGGAGATGTTGTTGAAGAACAGTGAAGACCCGAAGCCTGTGAAGAACCAAGCTGTGCGGTCCTCTGTGGATAGAGCTCACAGGGAGGTGGTCAGCTAGTGCAAAGGCCCCGGGGCAGGGATGTTGGTTTAGGGTTAAGCAAGGAGAGCAGCACGGCACATGAGAGACAGTGGACAGGTAGAAGCTGGTCAGACAAGTGGAGGGTCTGGGGACTCTGGTTGTGAGGTGGACATCACTGGAGGCTGACCCAGGAGGGACACACATGGCTAACGTAGGAGTGGGGCTCCAGCTGGGGGAGTCCAACCCTTTTTGAGCTAGGGACCCCTTTGTCGATCTGGGGGCTGATGAACCACGTTTCGGAAGAGTTTTTCAATGCAAAAATGAAAGCCATAGGGTATAAAGGAATTAGATTGTACGGGATACAGCTATGCAATAGCAAAGCCAGTTTATGATTTTGCTGTGTGTGTGCATCGTTACTAGTTCATTAGATAAGATCCAGCGTAGGCTTATAATAACTGCGTCCGCAGCATGCTAAGCACAGGCGGTTCTGTATCCCGAGAGCTCTGCAGAGACCCAGACGGGTCCGGCGAGTGGTGCAGCGTTGTGGGCGATGCTGACACTGCCCTGGGCACCGCCCGCGTCTTCAGGAAGCTGCTGCTCAGTTTCATTAAAAATAGGCGAAGAAAGGTTGCTTTTCCCCACTAAGGCCTGGGCCTGCCTGAACCCGCGACAGACCACTGCCCTGCTAGGAACAGCGGGTGCAGAGCGGATGAAACGGGATCGGAAAGAGGAGGGCGCCTTCCACTCGCCCTGGAATTCCTCGCTGGCCATTTCAGATCCCTGCACTCCTGGTGGCATCTGATGCTTTAAGACGTTGTAGGAGCAGAAGAAGCTTTGAGCCTTTTCCGGTTCTCTGGTTCTTGTGGCTAAGATCCAGGAGGCCTGGCGCGCGGCCCTTTCGTTGGGCAGAGTCTGTCCGGCTCCAGCCAGCCCGTTCTCCACTGCCTGGGACAGGAGGATGTGCTGGAGAGGAAAGAATCTGTGCACTCACTGCCGTGTCACGGGGCTACTCCCAGCCAGCCCAGCCCGGTCCTGCTCTCTGCACCCGCCCTGGCTTGCTGCGCCGCCTCTCCGCGCGTCCTCCGGGCAGTGGACAAGCCCCGCACCCCTCCCTGTCCCGCTGGCTGTCCCACTGTCCCGGCTCTGACTCACCTGTGGTTGCGGTCATGGCCTGCTGCGCTCCGAGCTCTGAGGGCGTGCTCCCTCATCGCTTGGTCTCTGTCTTTCCAGGCTAGTACCTCCGTGAAGAAGCCGCCGGCGAGCCAGAGAAGCGCATGATTCCCGCGCACGACCCCCGGGTGTGCTGGCGGAGGATTCTCCCCTACCCACGTCTGTAAGTTCACTTCGTGTCTAGTTTGCTCCTTTTCTTTCTGCTTGTATACTTCTAAGGCTGCTTATGACATTTTGTTTTCTTGAATAAAAAGCTGAGTTTTATAATACTTATCCATTTGAAGCAATCCACACAATCCTGAGAGGTGCAGAGTAGAAAGCAGAAATCACCCCAAACTCTGTCACTCAGAGAGAATGCGTAACATTTTGGTGTATATTTTATATAAGTTTTTTTATCAGATGTATTTTACAAAGATAGGATCATGCTGACTATTGCATCATAATGATTATTTTTTTGTGAATGTAGTTTTGATTTTTTCATGGATACAGGAGCATGTTATTGTGCCAAGGATGGCTTTAGAGCATGGCTGGGTTCAAACCTCGGAGCTGTCACTTAGTAGCTATGAACTCTGGAGAGTTAGTTAACGTCTCTATTTTCCAGTGCCGGTGGTTGGAGTGAGTACAGTAAGAGCACTGGTGGTCAGTGTGATGGGATCGCCTGGGTTCAGGTGGGGAAGCACTTGGAGCAGGGGTCTCAGCATCTGGGAGCAGTGACCATAGATATTTGAACATGCTGATGGCGTGGAGCACCCCGCTGATGGTCTCCCCAGCCTGCTGGACCGTCCTGCTAGTGATGGACACGCAGGTTGCCTTAGGCCTCTTACCCTCACCAGTGGTTAATGGCTCAGTGAACACGCTGTACTTATGTCTTTGAACACTTGTCTGATTTATTTACACATCTGGGAATGCAAAACCCTGGGATTTCTTGATTCTCCTGCTGCAGTGTCCTCCAGGAAGCTTTTGAGAGCCAGTTGGTGCCGCTGCTATCATCGTAGATGCGGTTTTCCTTGCACCCTGCACAGATGCTTGCTTCCTGCTCCTTGTTTATTTTCGCTTCAGTGCCATCCATGCTGCCGTGCTGTGTGATGTGGAGCCCAGGCAGGGTCTCTGCCCCAAGGATTGCCTGCCTGTTCCTGCTCAGAGCTTCAGCCTCTGCCTTCAGAGGGTGGACCCAGGGTCGACTCCGGGGCTGGAGCCGGGACTGCTCCTTCCTGCAGCCGGGAGAGCGTGGCAGTCGAGCGGGGCACTCAGGCCGGCTGGCTCTGTCAGCAGTCGGGGAGACTGGGCAGGGCAGCAGCTGGGTGGATCCCCCCCAGGTGGGACGCATCTCCCCAGGCAGGCTCCTGGCCAGGCGTGCCCACTACTCCCCGGCTGGGCTGTGCAGAGGCAGAGCCCGAGGAGGGGAGAGTAGAGAGAGTACAGATTGGTGATGGTGCTCCACGCCTTAGGACCCCTGGAGCTGATGCTGCACCACTCCTTCTAAGCAGTCCAGAGAGAAGCGATCTGTGTTAGCCGTTCAGGGAGCATTTAGGAATGTTGCTTTAGAGAGCACTTACTGGTTTGCTGATTGAGGACAAGAGCTTCCATAAATTTATTTTTAATGCCTGAATATATTAGACCTTGAGAAGTTTTCATTCTCTTCTTGTGACAGATCACATTTTTAAAAAATCATGTTAATTCAGAATTTCTCATAGTCACCTAAGGTACTGCTTGAAATTTGATGATTTGGAAGAAGTACATAATCCAGGGAGATTCTTAGTAATTCACTGTTTGAATCACCTGGAAGATATATTATTCTGATTGCTTTTGGACTGTAGGATTTAAATATCAGTGAATCCAATTATGGCAGCCTGATTGTGATATTTTAATATTATTTAAGAAAAATATTGGATGATAATTCTCATTAGTTAAGCAAGACAGAAGTAGGGTGGAATTTCACCCTCCATCATTCCTGTCATTTCATTCCTCTCAGGTTTTATTGAAAGCTGAGATTGATGAGTAGTGGAAAGACTGGAAAGCTGACATGTTTTTGCATTTTTCCTGGGACATCAGTGAGTTTCCTCGGGGTTGGTGCTCAGGCCGGCGGGGTGTGTTCAGCAGGCTGTGTTTGAAGCTGTATCAGAGCAAGTACGGAGGGTATCATTCTAGGGCTGAAGACGATGGAGGATCAGACTCTTTAGAGCAATCACTCATCTTTACACGCACACCATGAAGCCTGCTTTGAGTTTCCCCAGCAGGTTACGCTTGCCTCGTCTTTCCTTCTTTTTGAAGTTTTGGTTGTTGTCTGACACCGTGGCATGAGACACAGTGACTGAATTCCGAGGGAGGCTCTGAAGGAGATTCAGCGGGGTCCCGGCTACAGGCCAGGAGTCAGGTGTTCTGTTCTGCACTTCCGACCTCCCACTGGCCTCCCAGCTCCCACAAGAGTGTCTGAAACCCTTTGGGCATGGGCTCTCAACTGAGGATGATTTTGCTCCCCAAGAGACGTCAGGCAGTATCTGGAGAGACTTTCGGCATCAAGTGGTTGAGGCCAGGCAGCTGCTCAGCACCTGCACTGCCCGGGTCCGTCCGCAGAAGAAGGAATCCTCGGCACACAGTGTCCAGAGTGAGGAGGCTGAACCTCTCCTGCAGACGTTTGCAAGGTCAGGGTGTCTCCGGGGAAGCTGGCTGGGCCGAGAGGGTTCTGAAAGGTGTCCTTTCCGTAGTGACCTTGCGGTAGGTCAGGGTGATCGCTCCGTCAGGCTTGCAGTGTTAGAAACTAACTCTCAGGGACCCTGGAACTGACCAAACCCTAGGACAGTGATGACAAACCTTTTAGAGACCGAGTGCCCAGACTGCAACCAAATTTATCGCAAAATGCCAACACTGATGAAACATGAATACTGAGGTTTTAGTTTAGAAAAAAACAACAGATGCATTAACATCTTTTGTCTTAAAAACGAACAACACGTGTGCCATAGGTTTGCCACAACTGCTCTAGGAAGTTGACTTGCATTGGAATGCACAGAAACTGTTCCCAAACCTTTCCCTGCCTTACCAAGTTACACACTAGAGAGGACTGGTGGGCAGATAGGTGCTTGTGCTGGCTGCACCGTGCATGCACTTGCAGTTGGCAGAGTGCTGGGGTCTCAGGTCATTTGGAGCTGACTCCTGGAGCCTGGGGTCAGAATAAAAGGAGGCTCTTTTTGTAATTAAAGATACATGAACCTGAAGTTTTGACCTTTAGCTCCACTCCTGAGCTATCCACCATCAAGACGGGGCATGCTGAACCTCCAGGACAAGACTGTCCTTGATCTAGTGCTGGATGAGTCTTGGGAGCCGACTCCCCCGTGTCCTCTTCATGTTCCCGATCACTGACTTTCGTTACCCATACTGATTCTGCTCCTCCGTTTCCTCTTTATAGTCTTGTTGGCTTGGGGGAGAGTAATTGTTTCAAAAAGATGTTCAGGTGCCACTGTATGACAGGGATGATTACTGGAGCTGTCTCAGTGTAGTGGATGGCACTGCCAAGACAGCAGTTCAGGAGGACGGGCAGGACAGTGCCCAGGGCAGACACATGGGACTCTGCAGTGCGGAGGACAAAGGCCATTTCCCTCGGAGTGTCTGCTGTGCGCTGTCAGGCGCTGAGTTTATAGGCTGGGAGGATGACCTTAGGCCTGAAGGGAGGATGTGAGGAGTCACTGTCACTGCTGTGGACTGGCTCCTGTTGGTGTGCTGCTCCAAGATTGGATGTCAGGTCCGTGATGGATGAGTCCAATATACAGCCCCGCACGCTCCTTACCTCTCCCTCTCAGTAATGGAGCGGCCATTCTGTTCATTTCCCAGCAGTGTTGTCAGCCCCCAGGAAATATAGCCAGGCTGCAGGGAGTGCAAGGAGGACACAGTCACCGTAAAGAGGGGACGTCTGCAGAGGGTAGCAGTCTGGGAGAGCTTGATGTGTTTTGCCAGGATCCTGCGAATCACTCGGCAAAGTCAAAGCTGTCAAGTGCTAAGTTGTAACCAGTGCTCCTTGCTTTTGAGCACATCAGCACCGATCCAATTGGAATGAACATGGCGAGATGGAAACGTTGGGTGGATGGGAAGCAGGGGCAGAGGTGTTGGGTGTATACATTTTTCTTCCCCCAAGCATGCAGGTCTGGGTCTGTTCTGTCCACCTCTGCAGTCATTCCCTGGCTTTCTCTAACCCTAAGACAGATCTTTATTTCCACACTGTCTGAAGGCAGACAGACTCAGCTGGTCTGAGTCCTGGCTCTGGTACTCCTTAGTTGTGAGAACTTCTAGCGATGCTTGGGGATTCCTGAGTACTGAATAGCTAAGTACTTTGTTATTTTCTTTCTTCAGTAATTAATATAGTAATATCAGAGCTGTTTGCAGTTAATTAATTATCTCCCAGGCAGATTACTTTTATATTCCCTTAAAATGTGCTGCATTTGAGAAGGGATCTGACAGGGAAAAGAAGACTCTATGTGCGTGGGATCGAGCCTTTTAAAAATATAGCAGGATTTCTGTGTTTCGGTGGAATACAAATGTCTAAGGCTACCCAATCCATGCTGAACTGATTTTATTTCTCCCTGTTGATCTCTCTCAACCTCCTCTACCAGAAGTTCGGGTTGGGGAGCTGCCGTCTGGTGCTGCTCTTTCTTCACCATGGTCTCCATTGGAGGTGCAAAGCTGGCTGTGCTGAAGGTCCCTGCCCTTGCTGGGTCCAATGCAGGAGCTGTGTTTCTGCCTGGCCCACCTCCACTGCCCCCGAGTCTCTAGGACCCCACTTGTCTCCTTGCTTTAGGGTCTGTGAGCCCACAGGGGTGGGGTGGGCTGTGACCCCGAAGCCCAGGACGAGGCAGCAGATCTTACAGCCTCAATGAGTGTGTGTCTCATGACTGATACAGCCAGGGTGCTTCTTCCTGTCTTTTGCTCAGAATCAATATTTTCTCCTCTTTTCCCCCTTCTGGTCCTGGTGTTGACGGGTGCTTAGATGCTGGTGCAAATCCAGCAGAGACAGAAATGGAAATTTGTATTTTCGTTTGACACAAACGTAACGCCCCACCCCAGTATTAATCAGAGGAGTCTACATTAACACCTGTGAAATATAATAATGGACAGATAAAGAAAGACTGAATTTGGCTAGGCTTTGAAATCCACTGATTTGAAATTAGACAGGAGAATTAATTCTGTTGCAGCAGTGACCCCCAACTCCAGTCTGTCTCTGAAATGGGCTCAAATGTGGCCGCTTAGAAGTTTCTGAGTACATCCTGGTGACTTGCTGGGGTGTGTGGCGGGAGGGAACTTCATTCCCGTGCCTGGGTCACTGCAGCAGCTTTGCTGGCTGCGTTGAGTGTGGGGCTACAGCTGAGTGCTGAGAGTCCTTGAACCATCTGCGTGCCCAGTTAGGGTAATGGGTCCCAGGGGAATGGGCAGCCCTGCCCTGGAGCCTCAGTGGCTTGCAGGTTTGGGTCCCACTGGTCCAGTGCCCAGAGCCCCAGTCCAAGCTGGAAAGTCTTGGGCACGTTTCTCACTGGAGTTACAACGTGGTGCATGCTTCCTTCTGCAGGCAGCTGCTCCTTTCCAGCGACTGCTTTGGCTCCAACCTCCAGACAACGGGATTCTTTTCTTCCTCTTGCCACTAAATGCCTGCACACAGCCCGAATTCCGGTGCGGGGAGAGGGTGGCGCTTTTTGCCTAAGGATGGCCGTTCCGCTTGGCAGGATGAGAGCAGAGTGTGTGACGTCACCATCAGCAGGGTAAGAGCTGCTTTGCGCGTGGCTTCTCGGTGTGTCTGGCTTAATGCAGACGCCCCGGAGCTGGAATTGAGACACACACCAGGTGCTCCAGAAGTGCTTTGCCTGAGCCGCGTAACCTTTAAAACACCCTGGGTTAGTTCAAATTAAACTTGAATGAGCCCATGTAAACTTCAGGGCTTCCGGGTTCTCCTGGAACAGCAAGTGATGTGTCTACACGGGGCCCACCCTCCCGGCCCAGACCACAGCTGAGTCCTGACTCTGACTCCCAGACAAGACCCTGTACAAAGCCCTTCCCCAGCTCCTTATTTGATTGCCACACTGGTTTGGCCCTTGGAAACACTGAATTTTGCCGTGTCGGCTCGAGGTCTTTCTGCTAACTTTTTGACCAAAGAGATGATAGTTTTGCTAACCCCTTCAGATAAGTGACTGTCTTTTACTAGACTGTGGACAGCACTTAGCACAAGGAGCAGTGCTGCAGAGTGGACAGTAGATGACCCCTTCGATGGAGGAGCCCAGAGTGGGCGTGAGCACCAGTCAGACCGACGAGCAGTGAGAAGGGCAGAGCCGGTCTGCACCTTGTGTCAGAGCTGATGTGAAGGAGCACAGAGCGCTGTGGGGGCAGCAGAGTGGTGGGGAGAGAGAGCCACTGCCCTGGCCCGGGCACATTCAGGCTCTCCTGAGCCCCTCCCTGGCAGCAGAGCTTTGCTGCTGCGGGCGTTCTCTGTGTTCCTCCATGCAGCGTGGCCCAGCTGAAGCAGCAGGCATCTACTGCAGGGTTAGAGGTTTCTCTTGGGATAAAGTCCACGTTTTCTTGGTTGAAAAGCTGTCATTTGTGATTGTTTGCCTTTTACAAATAGGACAGATTTCTGGCTGGTTGGCTCACTAAATCACTCACCCCTCGGAGCAGCCCTCTTTGGAGACAAGCTGTGTGGAGGACAGAATCTCTGGAGTTTCCAGAGAGGAGCAGCCGTGCTAAATAAAGATCAGATGGAATGAGACTATGCTTGTGTGACTGCTCCAGTTGGAGGGAGCAGGATGGGAGAGGGGGGCAGAAGAACGGTCAGAACTCTCATTTTTAGGGCGAAGTTTTACATGGGCCTCGTGCTTCATGTTTTCAAGAGACCCTTTGCATTTGTTGTTTCGGGTCCAAGGTGGGCTTAGCCGTTTCCTTCTGTAGATCTGGGGTCTTCCTGCTCCGGGTGTCACAGCCTGGGCAGAGGCAGCCCCAAGGCCAGTTTTCAGAGGCCTCGTCTTGGCTCTGGTGGTTGCTTCCTGAGGTTCACGTCGAAGGGCCGTGGTGGGGCACGTGAAAGCCGATGAGGCTCGGGAGCAGGGTGAGCTGAGAAGTGGGGCCTGGCAGTTGCTGTGTCGGGTGTTCTCGTGCCTGTGCGTCGCATCTGCAACCCCAGCCTCCTCAGGGAAAGGCCCGAGGGAGAAGCCCTGTGCGGGAGCAGGTGCCCAGGCAGTGCTGCTCCTGGGAGCAGAGACTCAAATCCAGAAGGCTCTTAGAAGTTTCTTGAGTGCTGCACTCCTGCTCTGGGCATGTCTAAGATTGGTGCCCCACAAACAGCTATGTATTTCTGGTCAGCTGCTGTAGAAAACCCTCATTCGTGGAGCCTGGGTTCAAGCTCGCCAGCACCCCGCTTCCCATCCGCGGCCAGGGTGGAGGAAGCCCCTGGCCTAGTCATGCTCGCTGCTCTTCCAGGCCCATCGCCCATCCCAGAGCAGGAGGAACTATGAGGACAGATGTCAGGGGGCCCCAGTGGGCGGGGGCCAGAGTGAGTTTAGGGTTTCAGTCCCATTGATGTTTGCTTGGTTTTATTTGGTATAGCGTCACATGGTGCTCGTCGTCTGTTTTCTGTTGCCTGATGAGCACCTAGGACTGACTGATGTGTAGAGAAAAGAGATTTGTTGAGTTCACAGTGTTGGAGCTGGACGTCCACACAGCATGTGGCTGCCTGGTGGTGAGGGCATGGTGAAGAGAGTCTGTGTTCGGGAGAACAAGCAGGGGTTGGCTGGCGCGTGCAGCCTGCCCTCCTGAGGACCGACTCCGGACGCCGGACTTGCTCCGTCCCTCCTGGGCAGTGCCGCCGCCGGGACCCGACCCATTTCCACCAGGCCGGCCGCTAAAGGTCCTCCGCCTCCTTCCACCACTGCACCGGGGCCACACTTCTAACTCATGGACCCTTGGGACAAACCATGTCTGAGGCATAGCACGTGGAGGGTCAGAAATCGAATTTTGGATTGCCTGCACTTTCATAAAAATGCAAGTATTTTCTCTTTTGCATTGGATGGAATGAGATGAAAGTCAGAAATACATGCTCCAAAAGGGTGGCAGTGTTAGTGCGGAAAATGGCCTGCCTTTTTCTTTAATGACGTGACTGATGTAGGTCTTTTTGACAAGTGGAAGGCAAAAGGAATTTAGGTGTTCGTTTACTTTTATGGAATTGAGTTTTAAAAATGATTCTGTTCAATTAGAAAAAGCTGGCTTGCACTGTTTGCTGCTTTTCTGAGCAGAGCAAGCAATGTCTAAGACAGCTGTGCAGTGTGTCGTTCGTGTACCGGCTGTGAGGGGACAGACTCGAGGTTTTAAAGCGGATCTGAGGCCGGAGCCCGGAGAACTGCACGGACTCTAGGAAGAGGAAAGGGCGAGATGGCTTTGGAAGGCTCTTCAGGTGCCTCTCGGAGAGAAGAGGATCAGTGTGGTTTTTCTTTGAAGCTTCCAGTGCCTATCTTGGATTTTGACATCTTTCCCCTCTTTTAATCTTACAAGCACCAGGAAGCCCAAGGTGGCCAGACCCTGTGTGTGGAGTTGGCACTGAGAGGGACCAGTCCCAGCTCCTCCGAGGCAGAAGTGAGAACAGCGGTGGGCCCTTCTGCTTTGCAGCTCAGTGCCACTGTGCCACACAGATGTGCCCAGCCTGAGCCCCGCTGTCCTCAGCAGGCTCCCACAGCAGCCCCAGGAGGGACAGCATTCCTCAGTGAGGGTGCAGGCAAGTATCCAGATTAAGGTGCCAGCAGCCAGTCTCTGCCACGCCCTGAGGAAGGTGAGTGCATGGTCAGGTGTAGTGGCCAGTTACCCATGGAAGCTGGTGACACTGGCTTTGCGGTGTGGGGCACTGATCAGCCCCTAGGGCTGTGGAAGTGAAAGCAGACAGTTAGTCCACTCGCTTATGCGCACGCCCTGGCTGCTGTGTCCAGTACGACTCCAGGAGCTGTCACGGGAGGCTGAGCAGTGCTGTGTGTGAAGCACGCTCCACAGTGCACGCCCAGCGAAGGGGTTTAGCGAGTTGTTCTGCAGTCATTTTTAATGCGGAGTTTCACATGCACAGAAGCGGAGAGGGTGATAACACTAGATTCGGCTTTCCCGGCACCCCGCGCCCAGGGCTGACGGAGGGCCATCTGTGTGACCAGCACTGTCGCTTTCCCTCTGTGTCACTGAAATGGATCCCAGGCTATATAACTATATAATATTTATCCATAAATATTTTAGTATGTCTTTCCAGAATATAAGGGCTCCTTTGAAAGAACATAATTGTAGTCCCATTTGGACACCAAAAATTACCAATTCTTTTATATGATCGAATGTCTAGTTGTTGTTCCAGGGTCCCTGAACATAAGCATTTGGCTCCATAGAAGCAGCGTTTATACCAAGCCCATGTATTGCTTTTGTTCGCTATTTTTTAAAATTTGATTTGTCCTGTTTGGTTTCCTACAGTCTGAATTTTGCTGACCGGATGATCAGGGATCAGATATTGAAACTCTGATTTACTCGTTAGGAAATTTCTCATCAGGTTTTATTTATTTATTTTTGGTACGTGGATCAAACTCGGGACCTTGCACTTGCGAGGCAGGTGCCGGAAACACTGAGCTAAATCCCCGGCCCCTCTCATCAGGTTTTAATCTGGGCTTTAGCAGTCAATGATGACCATTGCTTAGGTCCATTGTTATTAGGGTTGCAAAATGACCAAATTTTAATTCTATTATTCCTTTTTCATTCATTACTTGAAACTCTTTTTTCAAGGACACTTTTGTCCTTTGAAAAGCTCAATAAAAGCTTTATTGAGAAAACTGATAAAATCTTCCTTGTAAAAATGTGTAATTCAGTGGGTTCTTAGTATATCCATGAGACTTGGCAACCATTTCACCCAGAGCATTTTTATTGCCCCTAAAAGAAACCCGTACTCATTAGCAATCCCCATTCTTTACCCCTAAGTTATCAGCAGCCACTAATCGATGCTTGTCCCTGTGGGTCTGCTTATTATGCATACCTCATGTACAGCTGTGTGACACATATGACATTTCATGATGACAGTTCTCCTGTGTTGTCAGCTAGGACTGAGTATGTGGCCGTGGTCCCGTAAGGCTACATTGTAGCTCTTTCTTTTTCTTTTTTTTTTTTTTTTGGTACTGGGGATCGAACTCAGGACCTTGTGCTTGTGAGGCAGGTGGCAGAACCACTGAGCTAAATCCCCAGCCCGACATTGTAGCTCTTTTGCTTTATGTAAATATAGTTTATGATCTGTGCACAGTGACACACAGTGTGTCCCATTGTTAAGTGGCACAGAGCTGTATGTGGAATCGTATCCTAGTGGCCTTTGTCTGGCTTCTTCACGAGCACAGTGCTTTCAGGGCTGATACATGTGGGTGTTTGTGGTATGGATCAGTATTTGGTTCCTTTTCATGGCTAAGTAACAGCCCATCATACGGGATTCCTTACTGGTTTATGTGCTCATCAGTTGGTGGACCCTTGGGCAGTCTCCTCTTTGGGGCCATTCTGAACCCAGCTACCCTGCCGTGAGCATTCCATTCTTGGTTTGTTTGGACACATGCTGTAAGTTCTCGTGGAAACGTCCCCAGGAGTGGGGTTTGCGGGAGGTCCCCAGGTGAGTTCTGCTGTGGAGGAGTGACAGTGAGAGCAAGGCTGACCCCTTTGTGCCCGTCTGGCTTCTGGCCCGACAGTGAGATCTCACTCCTACGTGCTCACGTGCCGCTGGGGC